ATATTTCTCTACAACACCAAGGGCATCTCAAAAACCCTCCCTCCCCAAAGAGCCTCCGGTCCCCTCTCCTCACTGTGTCTTGATATATGCTAATTACAGGACCCAGCCCCTGGCTGATAAACTCCGAAGGAATTGATTTCACCCTTCCAAATATGGAATCAACCATCCCTGTAACAAGTTATTCACTCAGCAGGATCTGACTCTTCCAGTGTTATACAGACATTATCTGTTTAGTCCTCAACAAACCCATATGAATTTGATATCAGTCACGCAGTATGATTTCCCTTTAATCAGTGAGGACTGCGGGGAAGAGAGAAACTTAACCAGAAAACCCATAGGTATATTTAACTCAAGTACAATGTCTTGTGTTTCCAGAGCTCAATGGAAGCTAAAGGAAAAAATAGTCATATATGTGGTTTCAATAGTCTAATGCCTCTTTTGCATGCATCTAGCATTTTGAACTAGTTAAATACATAATTATTTTTTCATCTTATGTTCATTATATGGAGTGCTTTACTGTATATAAAGCACTTCAATGTAAGATGAAAAGCTAATGTAGTTTCTTTATAGCTACTAAACACTGAAATGAACATTTTTTTAAAGTTTTTAAAAATTTTATTATATTTACTTTTTTCATTGTACATGTTTATGGAGTACAGTTTGTTGTTCAATACATGCATATATTATATAACAATCTAATCAGAATTGTTAGCATATCTATCACCTAAATATTTATCATTTCTTTGTGGTTATAACATTCAAGATCCTCTTTTCTATCTTGAAATGTACAAAGCAATATTTTAGTTATTGTCACCCTAGAACCAGAACTTATTCTTCCTATCTAACAGTAACACTTTGTACCAGTCTACCAACCTTTCTGCAGAGTCAGGGAAAGGGAAGAGAGAGGCAGGGCAAGATTTATTTTGATGCCCTTCTACTCTAAATTGCTACATTTTAATGTCCCAAGGAATTTTTTAAATGCAACTTTTTGAAGCAACTATGCTATTCTGATGTATCTTTAATATAGAATATTAAGCTTTACGTGCACACACACACACACACACACACACCCTCACAACGTTGTTACCATGAGGAAATATGATCACATATGTTAAGTGCTGGGCACAATACCTGGCCCATATGAGGCACTTTGAAATGGCCACAATGGACAACATCTCCCTACATTTGTGTGTACAACTGCTGATTACACACTTAGGACTCTTGCCCCAGAGAAATGCATATGTGTAAATATCACACAAACCTCTGTGTGAATTGGGAGAGGGAGGCACATAAATACATACTCCATCTCATTTAATTATCTCAGTGATTCAGGGAGATATGGGAGATATTCCCATTTTACAGATAAGAAAACTTGGAGACAGAAAGGGCTTTCTTTATAGCCACAGCCCAGGGCTGTGGACCCCATTACACCATACTTTCTTCTGGAAGGAGTTTTATCAAAGATGCTATCTTGACATATCACAAAGGGCTGGGACATCCAGCACTAAATGATGAAACCTAGATTTAAGTACTGAACTATTAAAATATACCTGTTTCCCAATGTTCATTGCAGCACTCTTCACAATAGCCAAAAGCTGGAATCAACCCAAATGTCCATCATCGGATGAGTGGATAAGCAGACACCTGGTACATGTATCTCCTCTGCTCACTGCTCAGACTTCATTTACGAAACTCGGTTCAAAGATAAAGTTCTTAAGAATTCAAGATAGCGACAGCAGAGCATTAAGCCGAGCACAGGTCCCGTGCCTGTGCGTGAAGCTGGCTCCCGTGAGAGGGAGATTTATTTCTCATTTATTCCTTTTATACCTTTTTGTTCTTATACCTTTTTAAAAATTTTTATTTAAAAAAGTAACATGGGCCAGCTTTAAAAATGTTCCAGGTTTTGAGTACTGTTTGCAAAATTCGAATCTGCAGAATTATATCTCAAGAATTTCTAGTCAGGCATCATAAAGGATTTGGCAAATGTTCTTTTGACTATGTAGAGCATGTGGCTAAAAAGAGTTTAAAGGGGTTGGTTTGGTTTTTGGTTAAAGACCAAAGTGGTAATAAGGCAGATGTCTTCTTTCTGTCCCTATAAACCGAGCCAGGCTTCATGCTTTTGGTCCTACAAGAAGCAATGCAAACCATGAAGGCCCTGAGGGGGGGGGGGGAATCATTTCCTCCTGATTCTTCCCAATATGAAGAGCTGCTACGAAGAGAGCATTTGTTCATGAGAAGTAAGCAAATCCACACCATAAGGATAAAGATCAGGTTCCCTTCAGCCCTGGCATTCTACATATCATTTCCAGATTGTGGAGTGGACTGGAATAGCTTCTGAATGCCTTGTCAACTCCTATCAGTTAGGCAAACTAAGATGTAAAGCAAAAAAAGGTGAAAAGTATTAGCTATTCTAGACTGCTTGGATGTTGGTTCATTAGGGCTGACAGTTGTGTGGATTTAGCTAGGGATTAAGTCTAAATTTCCTGTTTTATGGCCAGGAGCATCCACTGTTTACAGCAATAGTCTTCATTAACATTTAGTGAGTGCTTGCACTGTGCCAGAATCTGTTTTAAATGCTTCACAAGTGTTAACACATATTAACACATTTTGCCCTTACTACATCTACTATATCTTTTGGTCAGTTGTTTCCATTTTTAAAACACTGAATTTTTTTTTAGTATGCATCTTTAAACAGCTTTTTTATTATTATTATTGTGAATATTCATGAGATACAGAGCTGATTGTCACCCCTCGTGCCCAAGATGTGAAGGCGAGATGTGTACTGGCAGCATACCCATTACCACAAATTGCGTTTGTACCCCGTGTCCTCCACCCAATTATCCCCAACCTCCCTCCCACTCCCTCTTTGCCCCCAGTCTGCTTTGTAGCCCAAGGAACGTTCTCTCCCTCTGCAAGTCCAACGCACTACTATGGTCTTATATTTAAGTCTTTAATCCATTTTGGTTGATTTTAGTATATGGTAAGAGGTGCATATCTAGTTTCATTCTTCTGTATATGGATATCCAATATTCTAAGCACTACTTGTTGAAGAGGCAGTCTTTTCTCCAATGTAGATTTTTGTTGCCTTTGTCCAATATCAGATGGCTGTAAGCCTGAGGGGTGATTTCTGGGTTCTCTATTCTGCTCCACTGGTCTGAGTGTCTATTTTTATGCCAGTACCATGATGTTTTGGTTACAATAGCTTTGTAGTATAATTTGAAGTCAGATAGTGTTATGTCTCTGGCTTTATTTTAATTTTTTTTTTGCTCAGGATTGCCTTGGCTATTCTCAGCCTTTTGTTGTTCTATATGAAAATTAAGATTGTGTTTTCCATTTCTGTGAAGAATGTCATTGGTATTTTGATGGGGATTCCATTGAATCTGTACATCACTTTGGGTAGTAGAGACATTTTCACAATGTTAATTCTTCCAATCCAAGAGCATGGAACATCTTTCCATCTTTTTGCATCTTCCTTAATTTCTTTCAGAAGTGGTTTGTGGTTCTCATTGTAGAGATCTTTCACCTCCTTGGTTAAATTGATCCCTAGGTATTTTATTTTTTGTGTGACAAGTGTAAATGGGCTTACTTTATTTCTCTTTCTGTTAGTTCATTATTTGAGTACATAAACAAAACACTGATTTTTAAAAACTAATAACTTAAAACTGCCACACACATGAAAATGATCTATAAAACATTGCTTTTCCTGTGAAGGTTTTACATGCTTTGTTATCATTAACCAGTCTCTTGCTATTAAAGTTAAATGGCCAATTGAGACAATTCCAAGGCTGTTCTTACAGTGGCGGATGTTATAGATAATATTCATTCTCCTTTCTGAACTGCCCAGACAGACTTGGTATTTGCCTGCTCCAGCAGCCTTCTTGCCCACAGTAACTCTCTGCATCATATCACAAATAGCAAAATGACCCAGAAGAGTTATTATCAATGCTATTTTATTGATCGGGATACCAAGGCATGGGGAAACTGAGCCACTTTCCCAAGGTCACATTCCAGAGCCCATGTACCTAACCTAACTATAATCCCTCTCACCATGCAAAGTGAGCTAGTGTTCCTAATAGGCACCCCAAATGCTGTAAGAAGCTGGATTCCAAAATTAAAATAAAATAAATTGGAGAATTCCAGCATATGTTAGTGTTAGGTGCATTTGATGCATTTGATTCCTTTGGAAATTAGCAGGAAATTCTTTTGAATGTAACCAAACTTTGAAGTGGACAAAATGTGGCATTTGCTAACTTCCCATCTCAGGCCTTTTCTAGATGCCTCTTCTTTCTAGAAGATTTCCCTGAGTACCTACTTCTAATTTTTGGTGCCTAGTTCCCCACAGATTCACGTTTTACACCAGGATAGACTATGACCTTAAATGGTGACCAGTCAAAACTTTAAATAGCTGACTTAGGAATAGCACCCAACACAGACATATAACCACTAATGGGGATTTGAGGCTGAAATATATTGAAATCTTGCGCTCTGAAATAGCATCTCTTAGATACTCAACTACTCTTCCCCAACCCTTTAGCTCTAGAAGTCTCTGACCATGACTTTTAAAAAAATCAATCTATGTTATTACAAAAGCAAAACATGTTTATTGAAGAAAATGCAGCCAAATGAAAAAAAGGAAACACCTCCAATTCTTCCTACCTGGAGACTTCCATTGTTAACCCATGCATTGCTTTCCGGGTATTTGAGGGATTGCGTCTCTGCCCTATGAGGCATGACAACTCTTTACAGGCTCAAACACAGTTATTGCGTCTTTGTCTTTAATTATTCTCCAAGCAACATTTCTCTAGCTTGACTATTCTTTTAGACACCACCTGCCCAGTCCCCAGCATCATTCTACTGTTCACCCTCCCGCCTGAACCAGATGCAATGCTGCTCTTCATAAGGACCGTACACTAATCCAGACATTAAGCTCCTATTGACACATCTCACTAGGTCAACATCACTCTAACAGCTGCCTGCTCTTCTTTCTTTGTCTTCCACAGCTTTTTGCAATCTTTGCATTTGCAACATGCGGTGGCTATTCCGGAGGCCTGCGGCTGAGTGTGGACTGCGTCAACAAGACCGAAAGTAACCTCAGCATTGACATCGCATTTGCCTACCCGTTCAGGTAGGGAGTGGCAGCTCGTGCTCGCTAGCTTCACAGAGGGGGCACTGTCTTCCTTCTGAGGTTCCTCTCAGAAACGATTCTGCCTGAAGCCACAAAACCCTCAGAGTTCCCACTCATCACCTCACCCTGGGAGGATTTATGAATTGTTCCTTCAAGCCAGAATTGACTCTCCTCCAAAAAAAAAAAAAAGCTACATATGACCCCAGTATGGGGCTATCAATACAGAGACTTTGATTATACAATTCCTTCTTCCTCATCCATTTTCTCCATTCCTAAGTTCTCCCAAATTCTCTATAGAATCGTGTGTCACCTCTAATTTCATATTTACTATGCAATTCTGGCTGATGATGTGTTTAATAATATTAATATCTAATATTGCTTTCATGTGCCAGACACTGCAATTAACTGTTAAATCTCACTAAATCATCACAATGACCCTTTGAGGGGAGTACTATTATCATCACTATTAACAAATGAGGAAACCAAGGCCAGGTATACATTTGCCCACATTCCCTCAGCCAGTGAGTGGCAGAGTCAGGGTTTGGGCCCACCTGGCTTAAGCTCAGAGCTCACATCTCTACTGCTATATTTAAATTGCTTTAAATAACTTTTTCAACCTCTTTATAAATTCAATATGATAGATAATACCTTATTTGTCTCTGTGCCCTGTCTACAATGACAGCTAGATACCTACCAGGGCTTGAACCAAACCTGACATCTTGTGGTTTTGATCCATATGCCTTAAGTGGATTAATTTAATTCAATTTTGAAGTAGTTTATTTCTGTAAAACTCCCAAATACTTGACACCAAATAACTGCTGTGATTTTTTAAAAAACAGCTTTCATCACAATATTTTAGCATTTAATTAATATACTCTTTTGTTCCCTTCAATCTAACAAGCATTTATTGAGTGTGCACCTTGTACAAGGCACAGTGCTGGCTCTGTAATTACAGAGAAAAGTGAATATCAGCCCCTACAAACTTTTTTTAAACAGTCAAGTACAGTGTTTTTCAAAAATCTTTGCCATTGAGTCCTATATAAGCAATGTTACTAAAAAGAGAGAAAAAGTAAAAAGAAGAAAAAGGAGGGAGGGATAGGAAAGGAAGGAAGGGAGATAATTTTAAAATATGAACAAATAAATTCATGAAATACTTCTTAGCACTTTGCTTTTCTAATGCGCACTTTGAAGCAACAAGAGAGACATGATGTTTCCCAAATACATTTGGCCACGAAAACTCTTTTTCCGCTGAATATCTCAAAGGATTTGTTTATCATGGAACACATTCTTAAAATATGGGTCTAGTGAACTTTTTCTAGTCTAAAGCAAAGGTGCCTCAGTTCACAGGGGATGAATCATGGCAAAGTGGCATTTATACCAATATTCTGACTAGCTTTTAAGTATAGAACTGACAAAAGCTGCCAACACCCCTACTTAAGTAGATACTCTCCTAACTAACTAATAAGAGAGTACCAAGCTCGGAAATATTAAACATGTAAGCCCTGGTTATTTGGTAATAAGAGCTGTGCTGTGCTGGTGGAAATGGGCGTGAGCGTGCTTGATACTCCCGAAAGATCTGGATGCACCCCTTGGCTTCTGGTGGAGAGCGGCTGAGCCAATGCATGCTCGCTGATTAACATGTGGGATCTAGGATGGGAGGTAAGAAGTGCCAATGGCCAGGCAGCAGGGCTGGGATGCTTAGTAACTATTCTTCATGAAATTGAAAGGTCTACATTGCTTCTACAGTGATTTCGCACCAGGAGATCTGTTAGGAGGAGGTAACTTCAAGAGCAACAGGTCACTAAACATTGAGCTATTGGAGCACAGGACTCTCAGTCTTTCCCTCAAACTGGAGGAGAACAATAGAGACCTATCTGAACAGAACCAGTGCCTGCACTGGGGTGGGGGTGGAGAGAGGGTAATGTTTAATTTCATGCAATCCCTGACTAAGAGTACAATTTGAGAAGACTCTTCAAGGAAACAGTTTCCAGAACTGGGCTTCTTCATTTTCCTAAGGCAATTGGAGGAATTGGATAAAAATGTTTATTGCTATCTGTAAGTATAGCATACATCTCATTTGAAAGTTTTTTACTTGGATTCTGACACAAAGGTGCTTAACTGCTGTTTTTTTAGTAGCAGAGCTTTTCTTTCAAGCCCTATATTCCTTTGAAGCTCCATATATAAAACAGATATGAGTCACTGAGAAAGCTGAAGCAGGAGAGGAAGGGAGCTTGAAGTACCCAGCTAGTCCTCCTCAGCCCTCCCCCCACCACAACGTTGCCCACCCCCCACTGCACAGCCTCTACAATATCTCCTGGGCAACCCAAATCTCCTAGAAGCAATTTGAAAACCACTGTTCTAGAAGAAAGCAAGAAATCTTTTGTCACTCTGTTTACTTCATCTGTACAACATTTACTGCCTACTACTAAGGAGTCAGGATTAGCCTTATGTCCTCTCACAGAACATCTTACACTTTTGTTCCATTAGTGTCCATCTAGGAGATACACATCCCATTCCAAAGAAGCTCAATTTTATGAGAGTTGCGATTTCAGTTTTACATATGGATATGCTAAAATGTTGTCTCATTTTCCTCTTGGGGAAGATCTCAATAATTAACTGAAATTTATACAGGTTATTTTAAAAGCATTTGTTTCTGAAAAAGTTGAGTTAGCAAGATGCTGGTAATGTAAATCATTAAAAAGTTATTTTCTCCTAAAACTTCATAAGCCAGTGCCAATGATTTGATCATAATCTTAGAAATAAAATAAGAGCGTTCCTAAGTATTCAGTTTATTGCAAACATAAGGAAGACAATAAATTCTAATGCCAACTAATGAACAAAAACAATTAGTTTGTAAATGACAAATCAAAGGAAGTTATTTACCTGGTTATCAGACAAATATTTCAAGATGTAATACAATGTTGATTTAGAAAATTCTAGATAACCTACAAAATACTCATGAGCTACTTCTCATAAATATGCCAAAGTGTCTATCTCCTTTACATCACCATGATGTACATCACCAAGAAAGAATTGACGTTCAGCAATATGTCATTTTACTATGAAAATAAAACATTTGTCACCTGACCTTCCTTTTGATTTGGGATTAAAATGAACAAGTCGTATTAAACTGTCTTCTCATCTACTATAATGTGCTAACTTGGTATGAAACTTGCTTGAAAATTGGGGAGGAGAGTGGTTCTGGATTCAATATATTTAGCACTTTCTTCACAGAAGTGTGAAGTAGGGTTTCTCACTTTAAGATCTTAATATAGTTGTAGAAAGCCTACTTGAGGAATGCCAACTAACTCTTCGTATTTATACATGAATAAAAGATAGAGGAGGTTAGAGTAGAGAGTTTGAGGAGCTATGAGAGCAAACGTTTTCATGGTGAAGTTTAGTTTTGAAGTGTCAGAGTGGTGAATGAATGAACAGATATGCAAACACTTATTGCAGGTGTATAAAGTGCTAAATGCTGTGCTAGACACGTCCACGTGTATTATATCATGTATTCATCACAGACTATAAAGAGGTTATATTATACTATTTGGTTAACATCACACAGAAGATTCAAACTTTTGGATTTCATAAATTTTACTAATTGGAATAAAAACTAGAAGAAAGCAACGTTCAGGCTGTATGGATCATGGTGAGTTGAGCAAAAATTTATGATGGAAAATGTGATAAAGTAGGAAAGGTGGTCTTTGGCCATAATATAAAAGACCTTGAATTCCCAAGTGATTAAATAGGAAGAAGTTAGAGATGACAGAAAGGAAATAATAACAAAAACCATTTTGAAGTGGAGAGTACAAGTCTGGATTTGATCATGCAGAGTTTGAGGTGCTTGCAAGAAGCCTGGGGGAATTTTCTCTTAGGAAGATTTATGCTAAATCCCATGTAAGAAGAGAGAGGTAAAGGCTGAAAATCGAGCCTTAAGAGTCATCTTCATGGAGTGAAGAACAGAGGTCACCAAGAGAGACAGGACAGGAATGGAAGGCTACACTATGAGGGATGCCTACACTTCTAACAAACAAAGGAGAGAGTTACTGGGGGAGACCAAGAACGGTGAAAGGGAGAAGAGGTTAACCACTCAAAGAAGTGTAGGTTTCACAGAAGGTGAGAAAACTTCATGCACGTTACCACTCGGCAGTCCTGAATACTTCAGAGAAGTAAAGGGATGAAAACCAGGTTTGTAAAGGCTTTCATGAGATATTTTAGTAGGAGAGAAATGGAGAATGGGAAATGGAATTCAGTATGTTTTCCCTCAGACCAGTAAAATGCAAAATTCAAAGGACTCTAATCATCTTACCTTGAGCCTGCATGAGATGACATTTGTGAAGAAAGAGACCAAGTTTGTTAATGATCTTCTTATAGAGAAGGCATTCACCTCTTCCTTCTTGAAAGTAATTGGCTCATTGGATGACATGGTAGTAAATTTGCCACCATGGCTGGATAAGTAAACCAGTAATCAAGGTTTCCAGTATGTAAAAAATCTTCCATCATTTGAGATCAGCTGGATATAGAGAATAACACAAGATTCATAATGAAAAATAAATGAGTTATTATGTCACTTCCATGTCTTGAGACCCCATCAGGATTAAAAATACTAAGTTTGCTGTCAACTTCAACCATTCTTTAAGATATGGGATTAGTTATCAGGGCTATAGATAATTAGCAAAATTGTACTTGATTGGTTTATCTTTAAAGAGTAACTAGAGATACAAAGAAAGAAGTCTGGACAAAGATATTTACTGTCAAATTATCTTGGAGACTGCAAAATTAGAAACAGGGAACCACTTAATAAATTGTGGTACACCCATTAAATGAAATGCTAGGCATCCATTAGAAATCATTTTCTTGTATAAGATTTTTTTCAAGGTATTCCTTTATTTATTTATTTTTATTTTAACTTATCAACATACATGTGAAATATTCCCAGAATTATATTAGGTGACAAAGCAGAATGCACGACTGTACATGTAGTGATTTCTATTTGTTTT